ATTTGGCAACGACGTGTCATTTTGACATTGATAAAAAAGGATGTACCTTTTTTATAGTTCTGCCTGCTCCTTTGATCTAGTAGCCATTTGCGCCTGATGTCACTCCAATTTCTGTCGTGTCAAGTTTGATTGAAGGGTATATGGTTCACGCGTAAATTAGCAAGATGAGCCGTTTTAGAAAAATTTCGTCTGAAAAAACCACGAAATTCCGGAAACTATACCAGCAGTTAGACGCAATCATGTATCAATAAAGGTAATCATTATTGGTGTTTATTTGTATATTGTCGTTGATTCATCTTACCAAAAAACACTCGAACTTTTTTTTATTTGATAAATTTCCTTACTAGCTCAAACATTTTCCATCAGTTATTTCTCTCCAAAAAACTGACATTAGACAAAGCTGCTCGACCTACGGTCTCGCAATTTTTTCATGACAGTTTTTCTCGTAAAATTACTGATCGGCAAGTGTTTTTCGTTACCAACAGAAATTTATCCGATGAAAAAATAGTATATTGTGCAACAAGTGGGAAGAGTTCAACTTTTCTCCCCATGTTGCACACTATACTTTTTCTACAATTGCACTTATCCAAAGAATCCAACTAATGTAACTTATTGGTATTCATTTTATAATGTGGCACTATGCCACATTGAATATTGTGACCAAAGAGTAGACGACTCTCCTAGTACCTCAAAGTATTTCAAAAAAGTACACTTTCCGAAAAAGATTTTATTTGTGTATTTTTTTAAGATTCCAAAATTTTTTCGTATTCATATTTTTTTCTTGAAATTTCCGAAAACAACGCAAAAACTTATTCGAACTCCGCTCCGCGTCGTTCGCCTAACTGTATTTGCGTGTGGAAAAGTAACACTTTGCGCACTTGTTAGGAAAATAACTATTTTCGAATCGGAATGCCCCAATTGATTTTCTGTCAAATTCAAATTTACAGGGTTTGATAATGTGCCTATCGAGGCCACCGTTGTCTAACTGAATATTCACAGGAATTGAAAATGTTTATTCGATGTAAACAAATTATTCATAGAAAAACTCTAAAATACCCTACCTTTAACCAAATACAGCCTCGTCAATGGCAACCGGTGTCGATAAAAAAAAATATTGGATGACCTCCGCCGATTCAGAATTCAAATTGTTATTTCTCAACAAGGAAAACGGAGGCAGAAGGTTAGTGGATTTCTTACGGGACAGTAGACCATATCGACTAGTCAATGTAAGGTTATATATAGTACGGTCGATGTTGCACAATTATGGAAAAAATAAACGGCTATTAATATATGTAATTTTTTTAAAGAATATAGCTTTTTGTAAACTTGTAAAGGCTATCAATAATTATCTCAAAGGCGTACTTATATATGTTTATCAAAATCAATGCCGATAATGTTCAATTCGGGAAGTCTGGGGATCATTTGGGGAGTCCGGGAATTCTTTGAAAATGCATTGGGAAGGCTAGGAATGCGTTAGAAAGTCTTGGAATTCACTGGAAAGTCCGAAATTCTTTGAGAATTCCGAGAATTCTTTGGGAATTCATTGAAAAGGCTAGGAATGCTTTAGGAAGCCTTGGAATTTTCTGGAAAGTCTAAAATTCTCTGAAAAGTCCAGGAATTCTTTGGAAATTCATTTGGAAGGCCAGGAAATCTTTGGAAAGTCTTGGAATTCTCTGGAAAGTCTAAACATCATTTGGAAGTTCTGGGAACTCTTAGGTACTTCATTGGGAAGGCTAGGAATGCTTTAGGAAGCCTTGGAATTCTCTGGCAAGTCTAAAAAAATCTTTGACGAGTCCAAGAATTCTTTGGAGATTGATTTCGAAGGCCAGGAATGCTTTGGGAAGTCTTGGAATTCTCGGGAAAGTCTAAACATTATTTGGAACTTCCGGGAACTCTTAGGTACTTTATTGGGAAGGCTAGGAATGCTTTAGGAAGCGTCGGAATTCTCTGGCAAGTCTATAATTCTTTGAAGAGTCTAAGAATTCTTCGGAAATTCATTTCGGAGGCCAGGAATGCTTTGGGAAGTCTCGGAATTCTCTGGCAAGTCTGAAAATTATTTGAGAAATTCTGGAATACTTTGAGAATTCCTTGAGAGGTCCAGTAATTCTTTGGGAGGTTTTGGAGTTCTTTGAGGAGTCTGGGAATCATTTAGGAAGTCTAGGATTTCCTTGGGTAGTCCAGGTAGACTTTGGAAAGTCGAAATAGTCTCTGGGAAGTCCAGGAATTCCTAAGGTAGCCCCAGAAATCCATTAGGTAGCCCCAGGAATTCCTTCGGTAGCCCCAGAAAATATGGGAATTCTTTTGACAAAAGAAGTCTAGGGTAACCAAAAATTTGGCACATGATCTACCCCTCCGTTCATCCATGAAGAATTTCGATGTCTTTTCACTGAACTATCAAATTTTACGATAAATATGGTCGACTAGTGGCATTCATGGTCAACGCCACGGCGAAATCCATCACGACTAGCAATGAATAATAACTATTCAAAGAACTAACTTTCAGTGTTACACGATAGACCTTTTCCCGTTTCGTTATATTGATAGCTCGTTGTTATCAGATCGATCAACGAAATCGAAAGGTATTTATGTTGTCGATGGGGCTCTCACGTTTTGGTAGTGACGAAAATAGTCACTGTATAAATCCTCAAGATCATGAATAATGAGAGGAATAGAGAAACAGTTAATCCGACTAATAGTGTATTGATGAGGGGGATTAATGATTTCCCGTGATTTCCCAATACAGGATTCGACAATATATATAAGTAATGACAATAGTTATTTGTTTAACTAGGCAGAAAAGTAGTAGATTGACTGCCGTGTGAAACATAGAATTTTTCTCCAAATGATATCAAACCCATTTCGTGTGATTTTTTTATTGAAAACTCCATCATTTTGTGTTCACTCAATGTCAGTGTCAATTTGGATTACCAATTTCATTCGACTTATCCTGGGAACGTTGCATAGCAACAAACTTTTTATGCCTAGGCAGTAAAATTACACCTTTTCTGCCTGTTGAGCGGCAGTAAAAAGCCACTATCCCTGCCGCTTGGAGAAAATAGTAGATTGTTTTATTAGGATCGAAAGTGACACTTCGTTTGACAAGCAAATTTTGCATTTGCGAGGCGGAGCGTTTAGCGGAGCCGAGCGAAAGCAAAATTTGCGAGTCAAACAAAGTCACTTTTGATCCGAATGAAACATGCTATTTTTTCTGCAACCGAAACAATTAACTCAAATAAATATGTGAAGTTACCACCAATGCCGTGCCATATGTATATGCAATGCAACAAATATTGACAAATAATCCGTTTGGTGAGAATATTCTACCTGCATTAATAGTAGGTTTATTCAATTTTCAAGGATGTTGTAGTTTCAATATGAATACAACCACAGAGTGACATATTTGTGTCTGGACCAGGTGCTCTAATGGCAAATACCGCGCCAGTGCCAGCTATAGGAACAAGAAGTGGAAAATGTTAGGTTAGTGAGCATATCAACAATAATAATAGCGATTATTTATTCCTCTCCATACTACACTGTGTTTGACTTGATTATCAAATGAAGCTAAACAATATCGTTGTTTGAGACGAAAAAACTATTGCTTGCCGTGATTATTCAAAAACAAGTTATCCATCCCGAGAATAACGAATGAAATACAGATCCAGCAAGTATTTGAATCTTGAAGGCTTTCCTGATCAAAACTAAAATACTTAACTGAGATGTTAATAAGTCCAATACTCAACTATAATAAGGTGTATTTATATCTCCAGCATCGGTATGAAATGCCAAATCTGCCGAAATCGGAAACAAATCAGGTATGCGTCTGAACCCAAATAACCAACCGTCACAATGTTGTTTATTCTTGATGGCGTCCAGTACATCGTTTTTAGTTCCTAGGAGCTAAAGTTCAACTTTAGCTCCTAGGAACTAAAATTCAACTTCAGCTCCTAGGAACTAAATATGTTGCCTAGCAACATACCTATTTTTGTATCAGTAATAGAAACGTCAATTTAAGAGCTGATTTTGATATCAAAATGGATGACTTTTGTGTTAGTTACAGAAAAATAGAATTACTGTACTGAAAAAGTAATTGAAATATTCTGAAAGTAACTAAAATATTCGAAAAGCAATTAAAGTATACTCAAAAGGTTATAAGAATACTGAAAAGGTAACGAAAATATTTAATAAATAATCGGAGATACTGAAGATACTGAAATGGTATAATTTACAGATAATTAAAATAATGAAAGGATTCAGAAGGGTAATCAGGTACTTAAAAACTCAGGGTGTACACCATATTTGAAGAGTGTGAAGCTTCAGTCCCTAGAAAAAACTCTAAATATATGAAAATCAAAAAGAATTTTGTAAAATGTAGAAAAATCATTGGGGTGGAAAAGAATCATTTACAAAGAGTTTTCTAGATGTAGAAGACAAAAAATCGATCTAAAGTTCGAGAGACGGCGACAGTTATTTCTTCCTGCGAGGTACAACCAAGGTGTATCTTGATGACCGTCGTGATCAGTTAGGCGTGGCAACCTTGCTACTCAACCTCTAAACATCAAAGACCTTCGTTCGATTCCAATACGCGAAAGTACAGTTGGTTTCGTTACTTCATTTCGGATTTGTTAATTATTTGCATTTTCAGAAAGATATTTGACATTCAAACTGAAAAATTACGCCATGAAATGAATGATGATGCGGGGGCTATAATTTGAAGAGAATCGAATAAACAGTAATAATTGTTTGAAATCACTATTACTATAGTCATTTCCATAAGGGCAAAAAATTCCTGAACAAACTTTGAAGACAAAACGGAATTGAAGTGAAGACATATTAGCCTATATCCTGGTAGATATTGAGGCATAATAATAAAAATAGCATATTATTTAGGAATTTCGTATTGAGTGTAGGTATTGTTATTAACTTCACATGCCATATAGAACTGATACTAATGAACATGGACAATTATTTCGACCAAGTACTTTTTTTGTTGTTTTCATTAGGTTTGGACAAGGAACGACAGAAGAATCAGGGGTTACTGTTTAGCCTACTTGGTTGCGTTCGACAAGTATTGGAATATGTCATTGGAAGATGTCACGGAAGTTTGGAGTCGACCGAAAAAACGGAAAGTGCCAGCATTAGGTTAGCAAAACACCAATGTTATTTATTTATTTACAAAAATGGAAAACAAACTATAACTAACCCAAAAACAGTATTCGCAAATATGTCATATCTCATCTTTCCAAAGACTCGTTTGTCCAACGAACGGCTCTGGAACACATTGCCAAGGGAGGTGTTCCGCGAGGCATATAACCTCCAAAAATTCAAGAAGAACACCAATTCCTACCTAATTTTCCTTGGTTCTCACTATGTTCTCTGAACATTACAGGATATCCCTTTTCGTGGAAACCAGAACATAAAAAAAATACAGATATTTATATTAAACAAATCGAATATCAATTACGAAGATGATAATTGAAGTAATGAATGATTGAGTAGGTAAAACATGTAGTTATTGTAGTGTGTTGATACAAACAAAGGTGAAATAATTTTATTAAGTACATATTGAAACATATCAAAATACAGGGTAACTCACGGTCGATGGTACGTTAGACGTTTATGGAGAACGGGACATAGGATCATTTTGAAATTTTTGTTACTCACGTAGTTGCTCTTGGTCTATCGATCTAAAATATTTTCAGCTCTGCGGCGTTGCCGCTTCGATCGAAAAGTAGCAACAACTTTGTTATTTCAAATGGAACACCCTGTATTTTATTGCATTTTCAGATTCTCTCTGAAGAGCTGATTCCATCGATCTATCACACTTGGGGTCTAGCGGAAATGATTACAGAGATACAGGGTGTGAAAAATCGACATTTTTCAACTTGAGGAATTTTTTTTGTCGAAACTATTCATTATTGGTCAAAACGGCTCACATGTCCCTATCTCAACTTTTGATCAACTATCTACTGACATTTAATTGAAACAAATACAGGGTGGTGCAGAATTCAGAATCTTGATCACCCGAATTGAATGAATTTCTTGCTGGATATCACTGAATTGAGAATGAAAAGTTCTATAATATGACCCGAAAAAAACACAGGAGTGCAATTTGGAAAACCGAAGTTAGGGGTGGATTCTAGTTAATGCTCTAGGGCACCTGGTATATTTAGAAAAGAGCATGAAGAAAAAAATAATTCTTCCTTTAATAATAGTTATACAAGTAGATCACGAGATAGATTCATGAATCCAAATGTCTCCCAAAAATGTTTCACCAGTGATAATACAAAAAAACAACACGAAATTTCAGGGCATCCATTTTCCATGGAAAAATTGATATAAGTATTTTTTTCCAGACAGTGTTGGCGATGGAAATGAAAGAATCAAGCCTAGAGTGGAACCTCCCAGCATATCAGTTACTCCTCATGCGACAGATAAAAAATTGGAAAATTGTAAGAGGTTCGTACCTCAGTTGTTAATACGAGGTGAACAAGTGGTGATTGTAAATGTTGTTGAAGATGTGAATGTGGAAGAGAAAAGTAAACCAGAAGGTTCGAAAAGTGGTAAAAATTAAACTACTATGGGTTTCATTTTTGATGATGGAGATAGTCTGTGATTGAGTTGATTGGGCTTCGAAAAGTCTTTATCAGTAGCTGATGTATGCTTATGTTGTATGTGTATATAGTTTTTTATATGAATAAACCAAGCTATTTTTCCTACAGAGTTTTTTTTCTATTTTCTCTGCAAGAAAAATTCAGTAGAATGAAGCAGGACATAAACAAGTGACTCCATATATTAAAAAATAATTCGTCTATTTTGATAATCATAGTTCTTCTAACATATAAATTGTTTAGATCATCTTGATCCTGTAAATATTTTATGAAACTGAAATTCATGTACACTAGGTTCAGAAGTATTGAAAACATTTTTAGCTTCCGTAAAATTTTCTTAAAAATTATGCCAATTCATTGTAATTAAAAATATAATATCAGGTGATTATCAGATCAGATTCCTTGAGAGTTTTCTAATTATATACTTAATGATGTGTTCTTACCGAATCATTAGTTCACAAATAAATACGAGAAATCTATTAAAGTCGTAAATAATTTAAGCATGAAAAGATTAGTACCTACTCGGATCAGTAGTAAAAATCCATATCCTCATATTTTCTCGCCTTGGTTAAGATCATCAGGGGACAAGTCTTATCCACTATCATATTTTTTGTACTCCTTCAGGTAAAATCTTCGTTTTTTCAGACAGTGAGGAAAATGGCGAAGGTTCATAACGCCAATTTTGGCGTAGATGTAGTCGCCAAATATTCAATCTAAAAGAACCTTATTAGCAAACTAAAATGCTAAATGGTTTTTGAACTCTGATGTTCTGAATTTTCAAACTATCGATATAATCAAGAATCCTAACATTACAATTACAGGAGGGACTTAATTTTTTCTGAGATACTAAGATTTACTACAAAATATTGTCTTAGATCAAGTTACATTTTCAAGGGCACATTTTTTGTTTCTTTTGTAATCTAAAAGACCACTATAGATATGCTTTATGTGATTCACGAGGGGAAATTCGCTGAGGAATTTTGGTGTACACTTGTGTGGAATTACGAGGAATTACAGTGGAATTGCATGGCATTGCGAGGAATTGCGAGGCATTGCGAGGAATTGCGAGGCATTACGAGGCATTGCGAGGAATTGCGTGGCATTACGAGGAATTGTCTGGCATTATGAGGAATTATGATGCGCATTATTGGCATTATAGTATGAATTGCGCATGCGTTGATATTTCGATTACGTCATCGCTCGCCACGTGTTCCAAGTTGTGTTAACGGAAAACGTGAAATCACTGAAATCCTTCAGTAGACTGTTAGCTAGGTTAGGACCGGAGTATTATCTTTTTAGTTATCATGTTGAGTTACCCTGTATAATAATTATCAAAAATCTGATCACACATTCAAATTCTACGGAAAAATACTAATTTATTAGCGTTTATTAGTGACCAAATATAATCCACAAACAATTCAGTCAATTCCATTTTGAAAAAGTTCCTATAAGATTTTTTTTAGTAGATTTCAAATCTGCTATCAGATTATTGATGATTGTTTTACTAGGTCAGTACTTATTCTTACAAGAACTGAACATAATAAAGATTCATTCCGGCCTTAATACGAATTTATTTTCAAGTTTTTTTGAGTCAGTACTTCATCAGACAATTAAATTCCTCCAGTGAAAAAATTGAAAATACCTAATTTATTACGGAATAACTGAAATGGTACCAGAAACTTTTTCTACAAGTTCCTGTAGGATTGTTCCCGTAGATTTTCGATCTAAGATCAGATTTTCGATAATTTCTATACAGGGTGAGTTATTCTTACAAAAACACAACATAAAATAATATTCCGATCTTTATATTATTCATTATGAATCGGAATAAATATGAGGAATTGCAAAGAATTGCAGTGGAATTGCGAGGAATTACAGTGGAATTGCGAGGAATTGCAAGGAATTGCGAGGAATTGCAAGGAATTGCAAGGCATTACGAGGCATTACGGGGCATTACGAGGCATTAGGAGGAATTATGAGGCATTACTAGTGAATATAGTGAATTAAAAAGCATTATTTTGGCATTGAGGAATTAGTGTACATCATTCTGCTCAGCGAATTGCCCCTCGGTGATTCATGTCAGTAGAAAATGTGTAAAGGGCGTGGAAAGCTTTTGAAAAACACGAATTGTCCCTTCAGATGTTTTTAATATTGTTCCATACAATTAAAAACATTCTGGATCTGAAGCTTATTTAAATTAAATAATTATCAAAATCAAGTCTAGGTAAATGAGAATAGTTTCTACTCAGATCCATCTCCATTAGTGGACTGTAATTACACCACTATCAAATGAATACTCAAAGCTCAAAGTCATTTCCACAAATGTTCATAAATGAAGGAAATTGGTAGATAACGGTAAAAAATCAAATGCATCCCAAAAACTTGGTTTTCTGTTTCGACCCAGGAGCTATTTCACTTCCAGTCAGCTGCTTATAATCTATAAGGCACAGATCCGACCTGTCCTGGAATATCGTTCCCATATTTGAAGTGCAGCACCAAAAATACCCTGAAACTGTTGGACTCTGTCCAAAAAAGGGCAATTCGTCTCGTGGGTGATGCTTCGCTCACAAACTCACTCACTTCTCTGGAACACCGTCGACAAGTTGGCGATCTGGCTCTATTTTATAGATATTTTCATGGATGATGCTCCTCTGGGATATCATCAATTGTTCCTCCCTTGGCAGTCCCCGCGAGATTAACCCGTCGAGTTGAGGCTTTGTACTCTTCGTGGTCACTTTGGAGACCTGCAGAACATTTCTTTCCAAAGACTCGTTCATCCAACGAACAGCGAGGCTCTGGAACACATTGCCAAGGGAGGTGTTCCCCGAAGCATACAACCTCCAGAAATTGAAAAAGAACACCAAGGTAGGAACCTCCCAGCAAACATGATTGAGCGGTAAATAGGCGGCCGATTGCTGGTAACTGCGGTTAGTTGTCGGCAGCGGCACACCTATGTCGTTAAAATGTTGAAACGACATCGGTTTTGCCGCCATGGCTGAACGTACGCATGTTTATAATGGATGTTTGTTATTCAGCCAGAAATTGCCCGTTTAAAATTCCCGACAATCGTGCCGATGTCGCTTTGACGCAGTATGTATGTTGTTTACAGGTCAGTGGTAACTGAACCAAACGCAATGTTGGCATCACTGGGTTTTTGAGCATTGGTAGTACTGCTAATTTATTTTCGTGTTTTAGTTCTGTGTCCGTAGATCGCGTCAGTTGTCTGTCACTTGTCTTCAGGTATTTGTTAAAAGGCGTGATAATATTAATATTATTTAGAAAAAGTTGGTGAGTTTTATGATTGATCCCAGCAAACTATCGTCCGACATCAAGAATAATGATATATGTTATATAACAATAATTAAACTCGTTATTGTCTACCAATCCATTTTTGTGGTAATGATTTTGAGCTAAATATTTGTTCATTACCCTATATTATAACAATGATGCTCCAATGCGAAGTTCAGCTCTTTACCTATATTCGAAAAATATTTGATTCACAGTAATAGATCAAACACTGGAAAAGTAATGTGGCTTGAACATTATCAGACTAAACCTATTCTACGTCGTCGAATCAACAAGTTATGATAGGTATATCGTATATGATCAAATATCAAATATAATTGAAGTATTGTACTATTTCAATTCTGTTGACTGATGGATTCGTAATAGTATCTTTCAAGTTTCGCAGTAGCCTAGTGGTATAAGCGTCTGACAGTTGATTGGATATCCGTTCGATCGCAAGTTCGAGTCCGACTCCCGACTATATCTTTTTTTTATTTCTAACCGAATAGTGTCGGTAGATAGTCGGGCGGCCTACTAGCGGCCGGTGCGACACGGGCTAGCCGGGCCGACGATGTATCATGATTGTGGCCCGCTGATGTTGACTGTCGGCAGTTTTTGGAGGGCGTCTAAAGGCCCGCGCGATACATGTTTGCTGGGCTTGATTCCCTTTGTTCTCACGATGTTCTCTGAACATTTCGGAAGTTCCCTTTTCCCAGAACATAAAAAAAATCAAATGTTTTTTAATATTGTACAATTGAAAACATTCTATATCTGAAAATTATTCAAATTGAATAATAATCAAAATCAAGTGAAGGTAGATGAATAGTTTTCACTCAGATCCATATCTATCAGTGAACTGCAATCACACCACTATTAAATAAATACTCAAAGCTCGAAGTCATTTCCATAAATGTCCATAAATGAAAGAAATTGGTATAAACCGGTAAAAAATCAACTACTTTCCTGGCTATCTGCCACACAGAACATTGAATTATATCCTACCGTAATCTATGCAATGATTCGTATAGACGAATAAAATCGTAAGCGTTTCCTTCCTAGGTGCTGAATTGTGCTTAAACTGTCCAGGAAAGCTCGACTACCTACAGATCGGTTTCGAGCATTTTTGGCTCTCATCAGTGCAGGGATGTCTCCAGATAGCACTCATGACCGCTATCTGTGCGAACCTGACTCAACATAAACGCATCAACAATATCTAGAACCCAAGAGGCGTACGGCACACACCAATATTATTCAACAGAGAATTGAATGCTATAGGCACGTGAGACAACAGATATGTGTGGTCCCTTGTATTGAAAAAACACGCGCCATTACGGCACTTCTATTTTCAACGTGTTGAGAGTCAAATGCGAAGAAAGCAATATTATATTCACAAGGTCTTTCAAAAAACCTACTTCTCAGACGATTCGATTAGAGCATATGCAAAACTTACTTCAGTACAAAGTTGATCCTGAGATTCAAGCTCGGAGTTAACTCAGATTTAGTACTTAGCCAATATCACAGCTATGACTTGATGAGATAGGTAGTTGGAAGCGATGTTGAAAGATATAAGATCCCGATTTCTTCTTGCCCACTGATCGAAAGTAAACCAAGATACAAGAGGGGCTTGAAAAGTGAGAATAATGTTCCTTTTCGCCCATCCTCTAGATAAAAAGAAGAAATGTGCAACAACATTCGTAGGGCATACGTAGGGCAGTAATGTCTGAAAGTTAACTGATATTTCTCAACTTGGATTTCACTCCAAAAGATTATTATTAGTGTATCACTACACCAAGGTATCAAAGTCAGAAGAATATTTATCCAATGGAATGACTAATCTGTAGCAAGTTTCAGGATTCTTGTTGGTCCCACCAAATCTACTTTTTATTAATCAAATCTCTATATAAAATCGTCCATTTGTCAGTTCACATCGTTTTTTTACAATTATATGAAGTTTGTTATCTACTATACCCTCAATCAGATTAGGAAGAGAAAAATAGATTATGATAGTTGTGAATTTATAAATAACATCAGTAAAAATGTCTCGAGAAGCTAACGATTTTTACTACTACTATACCCGAGACTATACCTATACCTACTTAAAAATTATCTCATGAATCTTTGATCATACTATTTTACTACATATACTTATAGATAAGGTGTGAAGAAAGTTATATAAGTAATTGAATATTTTGAGGTAGGTCCCTTAGTACATATTTTAAACCGACAAAATTTTGACGAAAGAATCACAATCTCCGAAAACCCCCAGATACTAATTTTCAATAGAATCGGATCATATAATTTCAAAACTCCTCCACCATATTGGATCCGCCATCTTGAGTTTTCCAATTTTGACGTAAGAATCGTAACCTTCAGCACCTAAAACCTCGAGATGGCAGTTCGAACTACAATCGGATCATGATCACAAAACTCGTCCGCCATCTTGAATTTCTAGATCTTGACGGAAGAATCATTATCTTTGACCCCGAAAACGACTAGATACATATTTTGATTAGATTCGGATCAGAAATACAAAACTCGTCCGCCATGTTAGATTTGCCATCTTGAATTTATCAAAGAATCATAATCTCCGATCTCGAAAACCCCCATATACCAATTTTGAATCGAAACTGATCATAATTACCGAGCTCGTCCGCCATTTTGGAGCCGCCATTTTGTTTTTTTGTCGAACAAAAATTTCATGATGCATTGCCACACAGAATCATGTTTACCTGCTAAATTTCAAAGCATCAGTCTGTTCAAAGTGGGTCAAAATCGAGTCCAAAGGAGTCGGATACATACATACATAGATACATACAATATACATACAAGTGAAGCTAATAAAAGAGCGTTAAAAATCCAGTACTCAACAAAACCAGGTGAACTGAGAATAATACTTGTACCATATTGTTCGGACGATGTATATCATTAGAAACGGTATAAATTGATGCAACCGTTATTACTATGGTCACATTTTTATGATAAAGACGGAGATGTGCTTTCACTAACGCACGTTGGAGGGAAAGTCAAAAATCACCGAAAATTCAGGTTTTATTTCACGCTTCATGATCCCGCTGAAAATGAAAGTGCACCTATATTTTCTATTTTGCATTCCTTTGTCCGGTTGATCGCAATATGAATAAATAGTTGGTTAATAAAAATGAAATGGGTATTCTGTTTTAGGCTAAATCATACAGAGTGTCCAAATCATTACCAAGAGTTCAATACGGTTCATTATAATCTATACCTACAAGATTTCATAAAGATGTATGAAAGGCCATTGACGACCCATTGACTTTGGGAATTCACATAGTATAATAGTATAATCGTATAATCCTCGGTATAATTAACAACAAAAAATAATGTCTGGTTTCTCTGGAAAAATACAGCGAAAATGAAATGAGATGCCAGTCCTAGTTTGATATCGAGTTTAATCTCCACAATAAGTAAAAAAGATATACTCTCATCTGTTTGTATATATATGTCCAAACGCACATCAACAAGTGCATAATAAAATCTGCTAAAATGCACAATTAATAAAATTCATTCAATAATGATTTGCAATTATTAATTTGGAAATATCATGGTATACATACGTAAACAAAAAAAAAAGTTTGAAATTATTCATTCCAATTTATTTGTTGCTGTTGATAATATAATCAACTCCATGTTCGATAGTGAAGTGAAAAAAAGGGTTTCGTATTTTTATGATTATTTTTCATTCCCTATTTTTGTATATTCAAGTATCAAAAAAATTAAAATGACACAAATTACCATTTCTTTTGTAATATTGATTTGTGGACCAGCAGTAATCGGTTAACATATTATTTTTAAACCCATATACTTGGTACCTGTCTTGATATTATGACTTGTGAATATGTCCATCACCGAGGCTTCCCAGGTTTTCAGGAAAAAAATCAAAGTCTGAGTTTAAAAAAGCGAATTTTCATACACACCAATTTCAACACACCAATAACAAATGACAAACTAGATACCATGAAAGATTTCGCTTTGAATTTCTTGTGATCATAAAAAAAAACATGTTTGTTCAATATCTTCGTGATTTACGAGGGTAAGCAGAAAAAAATACAATATATTATAAGTTAACCGAACTTCGAGAAGAAGAATTGTTTTTCGAAGCACTGTGATTGTTGATGTTTGAATGATTGCATTTTTCAACTAAAATTTTTATTAATCTGAGCTGAACTCTAAGGAAACTCTGAGTGCGTATACAGGCTTTATTAAAAGAATGATAAATAATTAAAAAATGGAAAAATACGTCGTTTGACAGTTTTAATTTTTTTCAATCGACAGCAGCCATAGTTCTAGTTAGAAATCATAGCGAAATAAGGTTCCAATGATTCCATGGAATAAAGCTCGGAATAAAGTTATGCCCCCGAGGCCCGAATTACTGAAAAATGATAAAAGACCTAACCTCCTAATCCAAAAAATAAGGGCACTGCACACTTTGAAGCGCTCAATAACACAAAATCTATCTTTTCGGAATCAAAAACCTGGCAAAAAAGTTACACACAACACGCAACAGTTGTCCAAAGTTCATCCAGGAAACTCCAAAGTACACACCATCCAATGGTACAACAATCAAAAAAATCACTTTTCTGGCCAAACGCAAAGTAGCGGAATCAATTTTCATTTTGTGAAGTACTTATACCTTCATTAATTTAAGCTAATCTCTAAGAAAGAAAATTGTGCGTATACGGCTTCATTAAAAAAATTATACATAATCAAAAAATGGAACTAGGCATTATTCAATAGTTTCTGATTTTTTCAATCAACATAATCTATAGTTCTAGCTAGATATCATCGAAAAATAATCAAAAATCTTACCTGTTTTTCATCCCAGTCCGCAAAAAAAGAAGGTTAATCCAACAAGGGTAATCCAAAAAATAAAGGCACTTCACACTTTTAAACGCTCAATAACACAAAATCCACCTTTCCAAAATCAACAATCAAAAAAGTTACACACATAACACGCAAAAGTTCATCCAGGAAATCAAATAGTACATCAACCAAAAAAGTCACTCTTCCGACCAAAAATCTTTCGAACGCAAAAAAGCGGGTAAAACCGCGCGCGCGCGCAAAATTTCCCGAGTTCCTCGCTGGTTGTCGACCGCGCGATGCGAAACAACTGAGCGCTATCGGATGCGACGGACGTTTCGCCTGGCGTTTCCTAAGCCTGCTTAGCTAAATGGATGGCTAAAAGTCGAGGCGAAGTGGATCTAAGCGCGAGGAAAGCGAAACCTCGCGAGAGACGGCGAACGCAAGGTTGCGCTGTGTCCGAAGACGCCTAATACTAAGTACAGAGAGTGTTCGTGTAGCTTCTGAACCACCCCCTCAACTCACTTGTCGAAAAAAATTAAAAACCAAATTCAATTTACTTGATTTTTCGGGATTTTCTCTCCTCGTTTCTATACAGGGTGTTACATAATTCAATACAAATATTTCAATGACATATTCCTGGGGTCAAAATAAGACTTTTTTTCCTATAAACATGTATCCCAAAATCCACCCCCTCCAAGCTACAGACATCGCAAGATGCGCAAAAAAAATCTTAAATTTTTGCACTTGTATTTTTAGACGATTTATTCATTAGGTAACTCTAATCGAAAGGGGTGAATGAGGGTTGCATACAGATTTGATGGCAAACATTTCCTATTTCCTCCAAAGAAATTTGAATTCAAACATCATCGTTGAATTGGCCACTAAAAAATCATACATTTCAGTCTCTTGCATTTTCTTGAATTAGCTAACCGTTTTAGAGAAAATCGCTAGTAAATGAAAGGGGTGTATTTTCAAATTATTATACTAAAAAAACTTAGTGAGCTATGATTATGTTTGTCTCTGGTAACTAATGATTAATTAATATCTTTTATGCCAAACTGACATTGTGGTATGTCATAACCGTCATGTCACAATCGATTCACTTTCCTCAACTTACCATTACACGCGATGTCTGTAGCTTGGAGGGGGTGGATTTTAGGACACATGTTTATAGGAAAAAAAAGTCTTATTTTGATCCCAGGAATATGTCATTAAAATATTTGTATTGAATTATGTAACACCCTGTATAATAAAAATATGCGTATTAATTCAATATATTTGTAGTGGGACAAATCAGATGATTTCTTGAAAAAAAAAATAGTAGGCCGATTTTTATTTTCTTGTTATTTGTTGGTAGGTAATGCATTTGTCTTTCAAATATAATAAAGAGGTGAAAATTTTTTCAAAGCCTCCTTGATGGTGGTGGAATAACTCGAACCATGATTTATTCTTGATTTTTGACTCACCCTGTGTGTTAATTGAGTAATGGCATAGAAAGTGCTTACACCCAATACGAAAGAGGCTTCTTTTGCGAGCATTTTGTTTTCTAATTCATTGATTTATCTCTAAAATTTTCCGAATTACAGCTTTTTTTGCCGAATCCTTGCAGATTACCAACTTTCTGACTTTATCGAGGAACAATTTTCTAATGAAATAAACTGATACCAATAATTTGAAAAAACATTTTTATTAAACACAAAATTATAAATTGGGATGACTGCTTAATACCGTGTATTGCCTCCTCTTGCAACTCTAAGAACTTCTAATCTACGAGGCATACTGGAAATTAAGTTGCTTATCGTTTCCATTGTCATACGATCCCATTCTTCCACTAATGCATCCGCCATTTCTGCGAGACTTTCCGGACACCTCTCGCGAGAACGTACCCTTCTCCCTAATTCATCCCACAAATGTTCTATAAGATTCATATCGGGGCTTCTCGCAGGCCATTGTAATGTGGTAATACCAGTAGCTTCTAAGAAGTTTCGCACTATTGCTGCGGTGTGTGGTCGGGCAATATCCTGCATCAATATGAAATTATTGACCACTAACTCTGCATAAGGTAAGACATACTGCTCTAAAATGTCAATGTAAATTTGGGCATTCATCGACTGCTTCACCGGAAAAACATGGAGGGGTGTCTTTTCATTCATTGAAATCCCTCCCCACACCATAACGGACCCACCATTAAAACTTTCGCATTCTGTTATTAAATTTTGATTGAACCGTTCACCAGTTCTTCTCCACACTCTTTTTCTTCCATCCACCATGTTAAGGCAAAACCTTGACTCATCCGTAAACAAGACATTCGACCATTCAGGAATATTCCACTGTCCATAATTTTCAACAACATTTCTTCTAGCAGCACGATGTTCGGACAATAATTTGGGTCCTTTTGCAGGTCTCCTAGCTTTTAAATTAACTTCTCTTAGACGTCTACATACCGTCTGCTTACTTACTGCAACATCACGAATTTGGCGAAGATCTTGCTGAACATTTACCGCAGTATTTGATCGATTCCGTGAAATCCGCAATCTCAAGAAGCGATCATCTCTTTGGAGATGTTTTTCGGGGGCGACCAGAACCGACCCTCCGAGCGGTGCTTCCTGTTCGTTCGTGCTTGCGGATTGCTCTACGAGCAGTTGCTTCATGAAGCACTGCACGAGCGGCGTAACGTTTACTACACCCATCGTTTACTAACGTAACTAATTTTGCTGCTTGTTCAGGATTTATTTGAGGCATTTTATGTAATTTTAGTCAATAAAACAAGACACTTAATTAATGACACAACGACAAATGGTGAAATATGGAGGCATACAACAAATTAGTTGCTGAAGGTATAAATTGTAATAATAATGAATTCAAAAAAATAAAAATGATGTAGGCATAAAAACTAATAGGACAGTGACAAAAGTCATATAATTTATATACCGGAAGAAATGAAATTATAAAATTAGATTGTTGTTGAATATCTTATGAGGTAGAGTCATTTTGAATATCATCATGAACAAAAGATATTAAATAAGAATATATTTGACTGAGATTATCAATATCTGTTTTCTTATTCATAGTGTATTTCTCATTATTAATTTCAACCATCGCTAAAAACAGTCTTTTTGTTAAATTATTTTCTGAATGCAAAATTTTTGTTTCTTCGAATTTCATATGATGATCATTAGTGATGACATGTTCAGCGAGTCCACAATTACTTTTGAGAAGTCTGCAATCACTTTTATGGCCAGTTATCCTAGATTTGAGATTCTGAGTAGTTTGACCAATATGTTTCAGACTCGCTTGTTTGAGATTTGTATATATTGATTTGATAGGTTTTATAATTCTCTGAGCAATTCTTATATTGGAATCTAATTTGAAAATGTTGATAATTTTTGGAGTAAGTTCTTTAAAATATGGTATTGAACCAAACATGTGTTTTGTTTTCATGGACGTATAAACAAATATTCTTGAAAATATTAGTGGGATGCAGTCTGGACCAATGAATCAATTAAATTTCTTCGTTATTTGTCGTCGAGCTTTCGAAAATTTTTATTTTCTTTATCAAGACTAACTGAAAACATCGAAGGGAACAATAATATTAAAATATAAATGTACATCAATTGAAATTGGTATACTTACAAACATGAAATTCTATATAAAATTAGAACAATAAGGAAACATAGGGGTATAAATAAAATGAAATGATTTGACAAAAAAATGTCATAGATGATGGTTGACTAATTTGAAGATGTTGAATATAGAGTGAGATGAATACTGATATATATAAAAATACTGATATATAAAAAATGTTTGTAGATTATATATAAACCATGAATCATTCAAGGACGAGTTGATTTTTTATCTTTTTGTTTCTTTAAAAGGAATGTATAAATGGTACTAGTACCATTGATGTCTGTTCTTTTGTTCATCGTTTTATCATCAGAAATTTTTCAATTGATTCATTGGTCCAGACTGCATCCCACTAATATTTCCAAGAATATTATTATAGACCAGTCACGAAAGCTTCCCCTTGTTAAATATAAACAAATATACGTCCATCTTTGTTTTGCATTGAAATCTACTCATAATACTCAGATTTTTATTTTATTGAAATTTATCAACCAAAATGAATGTACCACCTCCTCGATCAACAGTAGATATTGAAATATTGAAATACAGGATGATCCGAAATCTATGAGAATACAAAAAAATCATTTCTGAATTGAGAAAACGAGCGTGCTGGCCGAATAACACCGTGTACAATGAATGTCGTGCCTGCATCATCGAGCGATCGCATAAGGGAACTTTCTCTTCGTCATTTCCATTATTTATAAGATACTAACGAAGTGCAATTTTCTTCGATGCATTTCGCAGATGTCGTTGCCATTCTGGCGAAAACAAAAGTGTAAGTGGCCGGTAGCTCCTCGGTTGATGCTCGTCAGTTGCATGAGAAAATGCATTCTCGTCCATCTTCAATTTAGTACCTATACCGGATGTCCCAGAGCTTTGAGGCCATCATCTTTGGGCCATCAGATATTCGGGTTATCTGACAAACAAAAAATTTCGAGAAATTGTGGAATTTATGGGAGCAATTGCTCCCCAAAATGGTGAGATTAAATCACCGTTTTATGTCACGTTTCACGTTATGTCGAACAATCTACTAGAATTCATTATTACAGATTTTTTGGGATTTTCTCTCCTCGTTTCTATAAAATCAAAATATGAATATTATTTCAATATACGTGTAGTAAGGACAAATCAGATGACTTGCCCCAAAATGTCACTGCATTTAAAGAATTTTCCTATCAGAGAGCCTAAAAGAAAAATTCACTAGCTTGTCAGTGACAATTTGTATTGAAAAAAGTTTGCAGAAGAGAAATAAAGGTATACAGGGTGGGCCACCAGTAACGCCTCGGTCTCTAGAAGGCTAACCACTTATCTTCTTGGAATTCTTCCTCTCTAGGAAGTTACATGTCAACATAGGCTACCATTTAAAATTATTTCGAAAAACCATAAAACACTGAAGTTAAACTTTTTTCTATCGAACACCCCATATATTATTTCATTTTGAGATTCTCCCTGGTGAGCTGATTTCAACAATCCATCATACTTGGGGTCTAGCAGTTATAATTACTGAGATATAGGGTGTGAGAAATCGAGATTTTCCAAGTTCAAGAATTTTTTGTGTCTAAATCATTCATAATTGGTCAAAACGCCTCACATGTCCCTATCTCAACTTTTGATCAACTATCTACTGACATTTAATTGAAACAAATACAGGGTGGTGCAGAATTCAGAATCTTGATCACCCGGTATATGTCCCAATTAAATATCAGTAGATAGTAAATCGAAAGTTGAGATAGGGACATGT